AGACAATGATTTAATGGATGGTAGGGTGACTAGCAATGACATCGCCGCGATCAGCCATAGGCTGTGAGGTATAAAAAGAGGAGCAGCGATGGGAAGGTGTGGTACATTTTCACACTTTTTCACGGCAGTTAAGACAGCGCACCACGACTGAACGCATTCATTTCCGAGTGGGCCTGAGATTGCGTCAGTGCTGTGTTGGTGGTAAGAGCGCGAGTTAACTTCAAGGACCTTCATTTGCCCGGCCGCAGGTGAGCGACCAATCCTGTTCATGTTTGACGGCTACTTTGAATGATGACATTGTTTAGAGATCTACCAGTGACTCATAATTTCCATCTCCCAGCAGTTCTCCTTTGAAAAAGGGTTGACGTCATCCTCCCACTGACAAAACCGATGCAGGGATTCTTTCTGGGCAATCAAGGGCCTATTTATACACAAACACACCATACATCAAACCACATTGTGTGTTATGCAATAAGATGCGGTCACGATCTTATCCAACTGATTAACAACTTTGGTATCAATGGAGAAAAGTGGACATCACCATTCAAAACCACAACGCCATGGTGACCATGACCGTGACATTTGTTTTGACAGTCACTTCCTGTTAAAGCATGCCCACTGCTGTTTCAACCTTTTGCTCTTCCTGTTACGTTAATCATCAGCTCAACCAGTGACACAGGGACTTCTGATGGGATCGTTCACACTCCTGGACGCTTCCTCCGGATGCTGGTTTCACATGGTGGTTTAGATGTGTTCTACCAGTGTCTAGCACCATTTGAAATCAGTGTTCTTGGGGAGGGAATTGCCGCTGGATCACGTTTCGCAGCCATGGACGATCCCAAGAGAAGTCAAAGAATAACATAAAAGGACAAGGAATCTATAGTGGGTGGAGTGGCTTTTCAAGAGAAGTGAGGTAAGTGCGTCTATTGAATCACAGGAGAACCAGATAGAGCTCATAGTTTGCCTCAAGCGCTTGATGAACTCACTCAGATGTGCTGAAAGTCAAATGAATGCGGTGTGAACAAGCCAGCCCTTAATTCATATAAATAATTTAACCAATTTCAACTTCATTTAACTTTGTTATTTTAATATAACATCAAGCTAATTTAACTTCAAGTTAATTTAAAGGGGTCATATGATGCTTTTTTAAAGATCATTATTTTGTGTATTTGGTGTAACAGAATATGTTGACATGCTTTAATGTTCAAAAAACACATTTTTTTCAAATACTGTACATTATTGTAAGTCCTCTATGCCCCGCCTCTCTCAAACGCTTCGTTTTCTACAAAGCCCCCTCCTT